ATTTTCCATATTGGGAGTTCGATATTAAGAATCTATGAGAAAGTTAGAAACTTTTATGCAAGAAGGATGTTCAAAGCAATGTACTTTGAATATGAGAGTTCGTTTCCATAGAGTTGATCTCCTTTGGAATCCTTTGTAATGACTGATGACAAGGTTTTGGTGACCTTGTGCATAATCATTATGAGAGGATCAGTGCATATAAGTTTAAAATCTAACAGTTTTTTTGGTAAATGGTAGGAATTAGGAATTCTTACATTTACAATAAGGATTTGGGATTGTGAAATGAGCATCATTGGAATCATGTTCAATTGATCTATTTCACAAAGTAAAGATCATAGACAAACATAGTGTGCATACTTGGAGTATGGCATAACTATTGTTTAGAAAAACAAAGTGTACATGCTAGGAGCATGGGACGACTGTTGTTTTTTGTTCAAGTATTAAGTTGATTATTTGAAACATTATACAATGAATAATGTGTAATCAATATGGTGATAAATAAAAGGTGGTTTTATTTATATTCAAAAGGGTTCTGAGACCATATTGGATTCGATTATTATTGTGTTTCACTTTGCATGTTTTGACTTCCAGGATAGCTAGGTTATTCTTTCCGAATGACTAAGTTATTTAAACACTCCACAGTCGTTCATATGTTGGAAGTAGGTATGAATTAAGACTGTCATGAATCGAGTTTGTAGATGGCTAAACGTGTTTAGACATAGCAATGGTTGCTACAACATTCATGAGTACTCATAAGTTATGAGTATTGGAATTAACCCACACTCACTTGTATCACTTCATGGAATTTATCTCGAGTGATCGTGAGACGATAATATCATATAAGTCTTCAAACCTAGAGATATGAGTTGTTACCTATGAGTTGGTTGTGCATTGATTGCACGTAAACGCATCAGTAACTTGATGTTATAAAACGTGTCTTTGTGTATAATTCAACAAGTAGTAGAAACAAGTATATGAGTCGAAGTTTATTTGTTCCTTCTAGTCCTTGGAGGATTAGAAGCGATATTTGGGCCCCTCGATGATTTTGTTTTGACCTATGTACCGGGCCCGGTCAGAACCTAATTGATGTGTTTAATTTAGTTCTTTGTCAAACAAATCGGAAATCGGGAAACAAACTGCTGGACAATAAGTACGACGTTGTTCCATGTATTTGTCCGGCTGATATCATGAGAACAGAGGATTATATGATCACTTATCTAAAATGGCGCTTCATAGTTCAACAGAGTTTTCGAGAGCTACGATTGCTAGTTGGTTCCTGAAGTAACATACGCAAATACAGTTATTAGACTTATCCAAGTGGGAGACTGTTGGATAAGGTGTCTAAGTCCATAACTTATTTGGTATATACTTGATCGACCCGGCATGGTCCATTTGGGTTGCACTTCACCCAAACTATTTATGGATAATTTTATGAGAATTGTATACTTACGATTTCTTAATATATTATAAGTTATAATATATTAATATAAAGTCATGTTATTTAATTAGTTTTAATCTTCAATTAATTATGAATTAATTTAGTGATTAAAAGGAAGACTAATTAAATCATGGGCTATTATATTTATATGGTGTGGGCTAATACTCATTTGTTAATGGGCTAAGCTTATGTGGAAGTCCATGGATGATCCATGGAGCTTTTAACCCATGGATCCTTGGAAAGGAAAAGACATGGGTTATTAGGGTTTCACCCTAACCATGCACACTATATAAACAAGCTCATGTTGCATGAAATACAACCCTAGTGTGTGTGTAATAGTGGTGGCTGATTTCTAAGTGTTAGTATACTCTCTCATACATTTTCCAAGTTTGTGGTGATTTATGATTTCCATTTGAGGCATTCACATTATTGGTGCTTGGCTCTCAAACTCCAAGGAATCAACAATCAACAAAAGGTATGTAATTCATCTAGTCCTTTTATGTTTAAAAGTACCCCATGCCATGCTAGATAGGTTATAAACCTTGGAAATTAATATTTTGCATGTACCTTAGACAAACATAGATCCAAGGTTTATTAGGGTTGCATGTACACTTAGGAAGTGTTAGAATGCTCAAAACCCAACACTTCAATCGTCTTCCAAATATGCACTAGAACACCCAAAGTTAGCTTCTCTCTTTCTCTCTCTCTCTCTCTCTCTCTCTCTCCCTCTCTCTCCCTCTCTCTCTCTCTCTCACACACACACACAAGCAAATACACACGATTAGGGTTTCTCACAGGGTATTAGGGTGACAAGGGTGGCAGAAATGAAGGCTTAAGGTCCTTTAAATAGCACACAAACCCTGAAAATTAGGGTTTTCTCACTCAGCACCTACTCGTCGAGTTGGGATCCTCCAACTCGTCGAGTAGACTCTAGAAATCACTCGGCCAATTAACTCCCCTACCGGGCGAGTTGGGGCATCCAACTCGTCGATTTGCTTTGAAATTATGAAAATAAATTAATTAAATATTATTCCTGGGAGTCGGGATGTTATAATAACACAATGATATAATGACAAAAAAAATTAGCTATAATAATAACAAATACAAAATAAAATAAAATAAATCATTTTCAAATGCTGAAGGTACCTCTTCTTCAAGTACGCATGACGATCACTGCTTGCTTTCATGGCTTTACTAGCTTTTGGCTTTCCACGAAGAAGAAAGAACTTCTATTGTTTTTCACACCATTCCTAAAGCAAAAAAGCAACATAAAATCGGATTCCATAGAAAAAAGCATGTAATGCTGAAATTAACATAAAATCTACCAAATATTGGTACAATATCACACAAAAATACATAAAGAATACAAAAAAATATCTATTCCTGTCTAATTTCAGATTATGGTTTCAATACATGAGAAAGACATGAGCCTTTCTTTTGGTTTCCATAAGCAACCTATTCAAAATAAAATCAACATCATCAATAAATAAATAAATATCAACATCATATACACGAGTTATAAAAAACGACAAATCACATCATAAAAAAATGATGTCATTTAAAAAGTAGCAAAAACATCAGAAACATCAAAAAATAACTAAATATTAGCATTATACATAGAAGTTTGAAAATTTGGGTCATTAACTAAATCTTTGTAAAATGTTATTGAATTATTTTACAACTTATTTTTTTGTGATTGTGCATGATTTTATTGATTTGTTATAGCTACAGTGTCTATGGTGTTGGCTATTGATGATAAGAATGAGCCTAAACTCTTCAAATATGATATATCATGTTTCTTTTCGTACAAAAAGGATGAATTATAAGAATTGAGGGAGCATATGAGGACATAAAAAGAGCAAAACGAAGAACTAAAAGAAGTAATGAAGGCCAAAGATGAACAACAGAAAACAAAATGCGAGCAGCTTGAACGACAACTACAATCGACAATGGCGGTTATTAACGTTTATAAGGAACTCCAAAAATAGTTATAGATCATAAAGTGTTGACTTGCTTTTGACAAAGTAATTATTTTAAATTAGGTTACGTATCATTTCGTTGTAAAAGATTTGTTGTTTTCTTAATTGTATAAATCTTATTTGATTATTTGATTATTTTTGTTTTTATATATTCATACAAAATAATTAGGACTTAATTTGTAGATTAATTATCAATCTGTAGCTATCTAGCTTTGCAATCAAAATATTCCAACAAAAATTGTCTATAGATCTTGCTACGTAAACATGGCAACGGAGTTTCTTACGGAATCATGTCTACGTAATTTGCTATGAAATCTGCTATAGAATCTAGACCACAAATGTAGCTATGGAACCAAGACCATGGATTTAGCTAGGGAGGCATCACCATAGATTTTGCTAACAAGATGCCTACGAAATTTGTTATGTATCCACTACAACAGAATTTGCGATAGAATAAATGCAATGGATTTAGCTACAGAAAGTGAACTATGGAATTCGCAACTGACGAACTACAACAGAATCCGTAACAGAATCCTACTACGGAATAGACGACAGAATACTATCTACAACATATTTCATTATGTTGTCGCATTTGCGATGGAATTATTGTTTCCGTTGCGAACCCTCGCTACGGGGTTTTTAAGCACAGGAATGGGCCGTTGCAATAGCGATTTGTCTTTTGCAACAAAATTTCACCTTTTTGGAACGTATTCCATCCTAGCAATATCGATTTTTTCTTGTAGTACATACTCCGAATAGAACACCGTTTTTAAGGTAATTAATACAATTGATCACTACACTTAAGAAAATTTTAAAATTGAAGGATTCGTAATTTAATTAGGAGAACTAATCAACTTAGGAATCGGTACAATAACAAAGTTTAATCCATTGCAGTATTTGATAAATCAATCATAGAAGAGGGGAGAATTGAACCTAAACGGAACGGAAGTACTTTTAAAAATCTTATTCACAATCTATATCTACTCATATCAATTTTGTTCTCAAAGTTTTAATTGTTAGCAATTGAGTTTAGAAGTTTCTGAATTTTAATTGTTACCAAAACAAATGTCGGAAAAAGGTAGCCTAAAACGCCTAACTTTCTTAATTAAGCCATTTTCTTAAGGTTTCGTACATCTTATCCAAGAACGTCGTATATACAAAACCCAATATTTTCTTAATTAAGGGAACGTTTTCTTCGGGTATCGTACCTCTCATCTAAGAACGTCGTATATGTTAAAGCCAATATTCAATGGCTAAAAGTAGTAGAATATAAAAGATGAAAACGAGAATTGTGAACATAAAATTTAATACTAATTGCTTTAGGTACCCCATGTATGAGTATGTGAGTGTCTATGTGTGTTTAACTTTTCACTTGAGAGAAGGAACACCCCAAAAGGCTGATTTGTATGTGTGTCGAAATCCGTTATTAGATAGCTTATCACAAAAGGACATGTGTATCATTCTAATAACAAACCGAAACTTTTGTAAAATACTTAATAGATATAAACGGATAAAAAAATACTTAACAACTACATAAGGTACAAAAAACGATTAAACACATTTGATCAAAATGCAACCAATGTATTACAGATTATCATACAACAATAGAGTCGTTTTTCCTGGTCTTTGATCTAGCTGTCAAGAGTTTCTTTATCACCCATATTACGAAGAAAAAAGTGTGGATGAAGCCAAACAACAAGCACAACGACATCCATGCCAAACACATGAAAAGAGTTGTAGAATTCACCCAGGTATCAGGAGACATCGACGCTATCTCCGTTAAATACGTAACTATGGTAAGAAACACGATGCAAAGAGTTGCTAGGTTGAGCACCCATAAGCAGAACCTGTTCCCGAGAGGGATTCCACTTAGGAACAAGAGAGAAATCATTAGAGAAAAAACCATAATTATCGTATTTTGTATCAAGAAGGAGTTGAAATGTCCCATTTCTTCTTTCGTTTGAACTGCGTTTCCCAAAGGTCCATCATTAGAACCAGTAAACGTTCCTCCTCGAGGGTGTAGCCCCAAATTGAATGATGTTGCTGCCATTACTATTGCTGCCAGCATCAGAATCCCACGTTGTTTCTCCAACCAGTCTGACATCCATCCTTTTGGCTTGTTCTCAAGATTGGTAACAGTGTGTGAGGATTTTGATTCTGTTGTGCTTTGAAATGGTCCAAAGTGATGGCTATTGTCTTTAGCTCTCTGAAAGTTCGCTTCCATAAGTAAACTACGGATTTGTAGTGCCCTGATATCTTGTGGACAATGATCAAGAACATCCAATGCTGTGAACCCATGTCCATTAACAATGATTCCAGTTGCTCTAATGCTTGATTTCTGAAGAAGATATTTAACGGTCTACGCATACAACAAACCACGAATGTTTAGCTCTTGAATATTCAGAAACATGAGCAATGTAACAGTAGAGAAGAAAAAGATTAGCCTTGATTAGGACAAAGGGAAAGTAAAACTTAAACCTGAATCTGTTTTTGAATCACAGCGAGGTGAAGGAGAGTATTTCCGTTGCGATCTGTTTGTGTGGCCAGCTCTTCATCATTCCATAATTGAGACAAAAACTTCATGGCCTCAAAACGATTACAGGAGATACAGGTATGTAAAATGGTGTCCCCATTTTCATGTAGCTCTCTACCAAGATCAGGTTTTGCTTGAATGAGTACTTTTATCACCTCTAATTGTTCGTTCATGACAGCCAAGTGCAGCGGTGTTGATCCATCTTGGTCTTGGAAACGCCATCCATCAGGACTTATGACGTTCAAGAGTTCACGAACAATCTCCACGTGGCCCTCAGCAGATGCCAAGTGGAGGGCCGTTCTTCTTTGCGAATCAAGAGATAATGCAAGTGTCGGCTTTTTATGCACAAGAATCTTCACGAAATTGAGGTGGCCTCTCGAGGCTGCAATATGCAAGGGTGTTTCGTTGAAGCAGCTAAGTGGAATTCTATCAAGAACGAGCTCGTCTTCCTGGAGCAATGCATTAAGGAGTTGTACATTTCCTGTTAAGGATGCTTCAAACAGGTTTTTGTCCATTGTTTGCTGGTCTATATGTTTGGGAAAGTCGCACGACGTTTATATGCAAATATCAATATGTGATAACCAAACATTGGCCAAAAGTTTTGAAGTCAACTCCCCAATTGCTTAGTGCCATGGTTATCGATGTTTGGTATACGAATTCTTTTGCGTGTTTGTTTAAAAGATAGTATTATAAAGATTTGTCAAGGGAGAAATTGATCGTTAAACATGAGTATCCCCTCTATCCTATAATTAACTATACATACGACTTTGTACAAATTATATTAAAATGCGAAGTTGAATTTTGCATTTGATTGATTCTTGATTTAAGTTTCTCCGAAGCTTAAAAATGTATAAAATAAATTATTATAATTTTATTAATCACTTAAACAAATAATCGTATTAGTAGGTCTTCGTGGATTTTTTTATATCATATTTCGATTAGACTCATATATTGACATCTAAAACGGAACACAATAATCATTTAAGTTGCAAAATAAGATGCATACCAAGACACATAGATATATATTCAGTGGTGATCGAACCCGGAAGTTAAGTGGGTGCATACTTGACCGTTGACTATGTAATTAATAATAATAATAATAATAATAATAATAATAATAAAACTAAAAAGTAAAATAACATTAAAACATTCAGTTAATTGTCATTTTATAGTTGAAATCTACGAGGACACATAACTAATAAACGTTTGATAATGTTTTCATTGATAGCCTTGGAAAATCTTTCTCTTTCAAGCACGCAAATTACACAGTCATTTAAAAGTTCATCCGAAATCCGATTTCGCAAATCCGACTTGACAAGCTTCATCGTGGAAAAACATCTCTCCTCCCTTGCGGTTGCAACCGGCAAGAGCAATGACAAATTTAATAAACCAAAGGAAAGGAAAGATGGATATTGGTTTCCACCGTCACTTTAGCAAGGTCTGATATACTCTTCAAAATAACAAATCTTGCATCTTGTTGCATAAGAGTGGTGCAAACCGAAAGTTCATGTAGAATATTCAACCTATCTTTAAAGCTAAAATCATGTTGATAGAAATTGATTAACTTTCGTAACATTGATGGGTCAAAGTCACAAAACGCATCATGTGGATTCGAACCCGTCATACAAATAAGCAATTCGAAACTTACTTCATTAAAACGATCACCAAAATCTTGGATTTGCATATCCAAAATCATGTTAAAAAAAAACCCTCGTAATAATGGCGATTGGAGATATGTGGTTATTGTCTTGGCTTCTTGGATTAATATGAAATCCATCTCTGTTAAGCTTAGTTCGTTTCCCCTGTCCCAAATAACCATCAAAAGCAAACCAAGCCAAACTAACAAACCGGCCCATAGCACAAATTAATCTTTTGATAGTATTATATCAAAATAAAATCAGTTTACAAATCAGAATTCATAAGCCATTCAAATCAGTTCATCATATCAAACCCATTCTGAAAATTGAACACAAGATCAAACCAAATTAGGGGAATAAAATTACAACGATGTTGGTGAGTGAAATCAGACGATGATGGTCCGTATGTGTGTGGCGGCAGATGGTGTTGGTTAGCTGGTAGTGAGCAAAGTTCGCCATTGTGTTGGTAGCGCTGCAGCGACATTGTGCAGTTGTGATAAATTTCGACGATGGTAGACTGTGTCGGCAACTGTGGAGTACTAAATTTCGGTTGCTATGGCCTATTAAATTCCATCATTGTGCTTGGTATGCTAGGTTAAAACTCAAAAGAAAGAAGATGAGTGAAAAGTCGAGAGAAAAAAGCAGAACAGAGAGAAGTGTGGATGAGTGGGTAGTAGAGACCAATCTATTTTGATTAAGGACCATAAACTGAATTTTTTTTAATACGTATTCCTCGTGGGACCCACTTTTAAATGGGTCATGCACCCCACTTCCCATCACATTAAATATGCCATATATTGTACCATTTTTTTAAGTTTACATAATTTTTATTAGTGTACATATATTTATGTGTCCTTAGCAAATTGTATGTAACGTTTGTAATTTTGTGTGTGCATGTAGTGTTCCTTAGCCCATTGAATGTAGCCTAGCTAGTCTTGCATTCGGCACTTCTTGGTTTGGGCCACTTCTATGTACATTTATTTCTTTGTAATACATAGTAATTAAGGCTCCATGGTATACTGTGAACCTATGTAGCTGTTTGTTTGTTGATTTGGAAAAGAACACACTTAGGAATTAAGAAGGGCAACGGGGAGGGTTGGGGGGTATGGTTTCCCTAACCCGTCCCGATATCTTTCGGGTATCTTATTGGGGCGCCCTATCGGGTTTCAGTTTTTCCCGTTCGGTTTCGGGTATCTTATCGGGTTTACAACAATTAATGACGAAATCTTTATTCCGTTTTATGGAAATACATGTTCTAGCCTTCGTTTTAAACTAAAATATGATGCATCACTTTAATAAAATAAAATGGACACTGTTATATTAAAAATTATTTGATTTAAGTTTACTGTAATACGTCAAAACATAAAAAACGATCATTCAGACCAGACTGTTAATAATTAAAAAGATTGACTGTAGTTAGTATTTTATCTTTTAATGCATGCAATTAATATCAAAATGATTCGAACATATAAATATATATATATATATATATATATATATATATATAGAGAGAGAGAGAGAGAGAGAGAGAGAAAGAGGTAGGTTCAAATGTTTCTCACATCTATTGTGTGCTAGAATGCACCAATAGGAATTTACTATTAATTATATGTATATTAAATGTTATCCACACTTATAACTCATTTTATGGAAACTAATTAAATTCGTAATTAATGTCAACAATAATATTCTTTCGGAATGAATTCATATCTATAAGAATGAGAGTGTATTCCAGCAGAATGAGAGTGTATTCTAGTAGAGTACACTCTCGTTCTTCATATTTCAGACAACTTTATTGTATTTTAAGTGAGTGAGTCGTGAAACAAAATACGAACTCATATATAAAACCTAGATGCGAATTCATTATGAAAGAATGTTATTACTGACATTAATGACGGATTTAATTAGTTTCCGTAAAAAGAGAATTATAATTATGGATGTCATTTAATATACATATAATTATGGAAATCATTTAATATCTATATTTATTTAATTAAATAATTATTTAATTTACTATATTTCTATTGGTGCATTCTAGCACACAATAAATGTTAGAAACAAAATAACCTAGCCCTATATATATATATATATATATATATATATATATATATATATATATATATTATATATATATATATATACTCTAATAAATAAAGGTTTTTTTGCCACATGTCACATTCTTATTCATTTTGACACATGTAATTTTATGGTTATTTTAAATTAATTTTTATTCCACATGTCATTTTATGGTTTTTTTCTATTTTATGAAATTTCACATACTATTTAAATCTAAGAATAAATGCATATCAATTTCATTAATGGTTTTCCTTTTAATTTCAAGATTACTAAATTAAAGTTTCATTAATTTCATTTATTTATTTATTTAAATTATTTGTTTTTAATTTAAAAGAGAAAAAACACTTTAATTTTTATAACTCAATATTTTTCTCACTTTTCTTATAAATTGAAACTTATCAAATATACTGAATTTTATATTTAATTTTTTTTAAATAAACCCATATAATACATGGGCCTCACACCTAGAGTGTGTATATATATATATATATATATATATATATATATATATATATATATATATAGAGAGAGAGAGAGAGAGAGACAGAGAGATAGATTCAAGTGTTGTAACTAATTATTGTATGAATGTAAGAATGATTGTGGACCAATCAAAATTTTTTTAAAAAAATAATTAAATTAATTAATAAGGGCAAATTAATAATATTACACATATATTAACTAATATCCAAAATTACTCATTGATATCCCTTTATTTTAGGACCAGTTTCTATTTACCTATTAAACCCTAAAGCCGACTCTAGCAGTAGTCATTCATCCGACCGATGCAAGCTTCATCTCCATCAGCGGTTGTTGCAGAACCCCTTCCAGCTGGCCATCGACAGCCTCCTTCTTAAAACCTCGATGCCTCCACCATTGTCTTCCTCGTTTTCACTTCAAAAAGGTACCTAATTTTATCTTTTTTGCAAAGGGGAACGTCGTCTCCAGCGTCTGATGAGGCTGAAGGGGGGCAGCGAGGCTGCTTGTTTTGGTTGTAGTAGCGAGCTATGAAAAGGAGTTCAGTGGGGTTGATGGGGAAACGATCAGCGACAGGGCTCTGGTGAGTATGGTTTGTCAGCGAGGGTAGACGGGAAGAGGAAAAGATGTGCGAGAGGATTGTTGTGATTGACGGGGGGAAAGGAAGAACGTGAGGCGACTGCTGCCTCAAGGTCTTGTCGAAATCGCCACCATACCTGGTGGTTCTTGATACGGGACGAAGAAGAAGATGAAGTTGAATCTGGATTCATGTAGAATTGGGGATAAAGGCACAGTTCACTTAGCAGGTAATTACACCATATTAAAAATTCTTTCAAAATTATAATAAAATGTGTACTTGTCTAAAATGTGTACTTGTCTAGAATACATATTGTGTAATTGTTATCTTCTACCAGTTCTTTGTGTATTTTGATGACAAATTGCTGTGGGCATTTAAGTAGAAGAGATTATATCTAGAAAAGCAACGGTAGGTTGTGGTTGTGAAATCTCTTTCTGATCATCACTCCTTCTCTTGTGGACCAATTCAACATTCAAATGTTTGATCAGTCCTCATCTACCACATTGTAAATTCATTTTGAAACTTTTATATGTTTATAATATAAATAAACTAGAGTGCATGGGAACACTCGATATCTTCATGAAAATCGTAACTTTTCCTTTTCTTGCAAAGTCCATGATTTTGATTTTTTTGTAATTGATATGGGCTTATAATTATTTATTTTTATCTTTTATGTTATCATTCGATTTTTGCCACCAGTTAACGTTTTGATTTAGGGAATGGGGCGATAGTAAATGGGTTCCACTTTATGTTTAGTGTTCTTCTCAATGAACCACAGGCAAGTTTCCTCTTTCTAGCTCTACAATTTTCTCAACTTATTTGTTCA